TGCTTCCACTCATTGGCGCATCCCGTGCTGATACATGTATGACTTCGTGTTTCGTTGCGTTGAGATCGGTTAACTTCCACTCGCCAACAGCACGGACGAGTGCTTCCACTATTGGCGCGTCCCGTGCTGGTGCGTGTCCTTGTTTTTTTTTTTTTTTTTTTTTCATTGAGATCACTTCCGCATAGACAATCCTACGGCAGGTTGACGAGTTTTTTGGCATGCATCAATTGCTGTCCGGGCGTTTTTGGTCGCTTCATCGTCGATGGACGTGACGTATTCTTATAGAAGGTTTGTGTCACAGCGGCTATAAATTTGACGTGATGCCCCTCGAGACCGTGATGCACTCACATTGACCGCTACCTGACGTTCCTCGCGAGTTCGAACCTCGCGTGTCACTTTCATCTCCCCCCCCTATTTTTTTCTCATCTTCTTTTTCCTTATGCATACAGCACGTAGTTCGCTGTCTCGTTTTTTTTTTTTCTCGTCTTCTTTGTTTTTCAGTCTTTTTCTTTGAGTCTTTCTCTCGCATGCATGTGTTTTTGCTTTTATCCGTTCCCGTGAATGCTGTTGAATGCACTTTCCGATTACGTATGCGGCCGCTTTGTATGCCATGGGACTTGTCGATACCATCAGTGGGGACTTGTCAATACCATCCGTGGAGACGATTGCTTACGTGAGTGGGCATATTATCGTCGATTCCTTCAGCTATATGCCCCTCTGTGCGCGGCACAGACAAGATTGTACCGGCAAGTAGTCCCTAGTAAGCCGGGGGAAACAGAAAACAAGGCACCTGCCTCATGTGCATACTCGTGACAGCATCATGCCCTACTGCCGCGGGTCGATTGGTTATGTCCGATGCCGCAGGGTTCCTCCACCCCGTGCAGTACAATGGCTGCTATCAACCGCGACAAGTCAGCGTGCGACCATACAACAGGCCCCGCTCTTTCTTTTTGCCGTTGAATTTTTTCTTCAGAGAGAGTACGTCTCGGTTGGGACGAACCGCATTTTTTTTTTCTTCAGCGAGAGTACGTCTCGGTTGGGATGAACCGCATCCCATGTTTGGGAAGGGACCTATCTGAGCGGCGCGGCGAGCGAGACTGCGGTGGCTTGCCGCCGCTTATCTTACTGCACCCTCCCCCCTCGTGCTAAATGCACGCAGCGGTGAGGTCACAAGAGTAGCGGGACGCGAATAGAAACACGGCCGACACGATGGATGTTGGACACGAGTACACACCTTTATATGGAGACTGCCGCCGCTACTGCGTTAGGCGGCTGCTGCTGTCCTTCCGTTGCTTCACGCGCTCTGTAGCTGTCACACGTTACCCGACTTTGCTACAGCCCCTGCGTGGACTCGATCACGGAATGACACCCCCAACTATAGACTAATAATTCCAAACACCGTGACCCTGGGTTTCCGGTAGAAAATGAAGCCAAATTCTAATTCGACTGTTACAAAATAAACACCAGTTTATTCTATCTGCTTCGACGAACAAACCTTCCTTTTATTCTATCTGCTTCGACGAACAAATCTTCCTGTTTACCAACCGTCACATATCACACCGCATCTACACGTACGTATCATTGCATACATACAGCAGTCAATCATACAGCTGCATCTATTCTACTACACACATCCTACAGCAGTAATGTGATGTATTTCAACAAACTCAGGATCTCCCTCTGATCAGTGCTAGGGACTGTGTATCCGTCTTTGTTGGGTGGTGTTTCGAGGTCTAAGTCCACTTACGGACCTCGGCCCACCCCAGCAGAGAGGGGGGCAGGCCGGGGGATATAAAACTCGAAAATAGACCTTCACAGGGTAAAAACACATTACATTGTTAGTCTGTGCCAATACACATCATAGGACAGCTGGTGTTGGGCAGGTGGGCTGCCGTTGTGGTCCAGCTAGATGTACCGGGAACAAGCACCAAGCAAAATCAGAGTGCCTTTTTTCAACGTTATGCATATGCACACCCCTACGTAGTGAACGAACAGGGGACAAGGCGCGTTCGTGTCTGCCAAGACCGTCCCCGACCAACGCTAGCTGACACTCTGTATGTTGGCACTCGGGCACGTTGATGACAAGAAACCGTTGGACCTTTTCTTCTCTTTTCTTTGCCACAAAGGATAAGAGAGAGAGGAGAGAAAAGACAGGCATTAACAGTAGTAACAACCGCCGGCCTCCCCGCCGTGTCGAGTCGGAAGGGCCGCCCTCACCCCCACAAAAATAACGGGGCAGCCCATAAGCCACGCGGCGAGTCTTGTGGAACTGTGTCTGTTAGTTAATTCGTCTGTGCTTGCGTGCGATGGCGGCACCAGAGAAAGAGCGAGAAAGAAAAAGGAGCACGACTAGAGAGGAGGGCAGAGGGGAAAAGAAAGAGTGCAGCAACATGCAGCAACCTCACGTACGCTTTGATATACATGCAGCACAACAAATCGTCGGGGCAGAGCCCGAAAGCTTGGGGGCTGGCGGTGGTGGCGGCGTTGTTACGACTGCGTGTGTCTTTGCTATTGTGATGGCGGTGAGGTTTGCTGCAAGCGAGGAGACACAGGGAAAGAGGAAGATAAAGAGAAACTCTGTTTGTCTGGGAACATGTGTAATGTAAGACCGCCAGAAAAATCACTTTAACTGTTCATGACTGTATTCTTCATATATGGCCTTGACCGAAAATTATTCATCCAAATTTTCCTGATCATTCGGATTCTTCACATTCATCCCTTTGCCACCAACCAACCAACATCCTCGCCCCTCTTCTCCACCGTCCTCTGACTCGGCAACGCGGATCCTGAAACCCTAAGCGTGCAGGTATGATCTTCACATGTTTGTTCAACGGCAATGACTACAGTACAGTGGTGCCCCCCCTAGCTGCTCCGTCCCGAAGTCACACTACCTGTGCCAAAGGTTTGTTGTTTAACGAAACATATGTTTCTATTGCGGTCTGCGGCAGCGGTAGTGATAGACCGAGAGCTGGCCTATGCCGTTGGTATGTAGAGGGTCTATGCAGTGCATTTTCTATCGAGGAACACTGCTCTACACGTTTCACGGCTGGACAGAACAATCGTCATTCCCAGGGCGTGTGCTACTCTCTCTGGACCAAGAAAAGGAATGGGTTCCCTGTGACATGTCCCAAGACGTTGTTGTAGCAAATTGTGGCTCACAACAGTTCAGGGGCTCGCTTTCTTAGGGACTCACCTCGCCGAGGGTGCTTCACGCCTCCCATTCTGGGTATAACATGCCTCGGCACACTGGGTACCTCACGGTGTCATCCTCAGCATTAACCACGATGCAGGAGTCACTCCCTATTTGTATTGTAGTATTATTTCCTTGACCTGGAAACGATTTCCTCGCGAAAACCGCCTAGCGTCGAATGAAGTATGGTCTCGAACATCCCATATAAGCCATGACTGCCGCACTTCAGGCATGGGATAGTACAGCAGTCGTCAATGAGCGCGTCTTGCTAAACTGGAGGTGATTGATGTATGCGATGGCAAAACAAACACATGCATGACATTGTGTCAACATTAAAAGCTGGGTTCGGAAACAATCCAAGACCAACCAACAGCGGCAGTGCTACAGTAGTGTTACAGCAGTAGCACCCAGCTTGTAGGTCAATAGTTCACTTGCGCAACTGGGAGGGATAATGAGCGGCGGGTGACGACTCAAACCCTTCCAGTACATGGTCTCCTGCGATGCTGTCGAATGCTGTGCGATGTCTGGCTGTGCGCGAGACGATTAAGAAAAAACAGTAGGAGAAGGAGGAGCCTCGCCCACAGACGAGCGCGCACGACTGGTAGTGTGCACGCGGCACAGTCGTTGAACGAGCGGACGTGACGCGATGACCTCGCGACGAGAAGCAGCGGTGTGGGTAGTTGATATGGATGAATTATTCACGTGCAGAATTTATTCCGCTGATGTATCACAGGCTTCTTAATTTGATTTTATCACACGTCACGCTCCTCACATTGGGGGCGGGGGGGCCACAATTCGAAGAGGGTTGAGGAGATTTTGCGGTAGGTATGGAGGACGTGAATGAACGTTTGCGAAGAGAAAGGCAATGTGCCGATACCGATATTGTGGATGATGAAGGTATGCATGTGACGAGAGTATGGATAAACTGCGCACGTGGCAAGGTCGGTACCGCCCGAAGATGGCACAGAGAGTCTGTTGGGACAGACGTGGGACAAGTTCCAGCTTGACCGGGTAGGTGTCGAGCACGGTGTGCACGCAATGGCAGGAATTAAGGATGAAGTACGTGACAGAAATAGTCGCGGTATGATCATGTGCACAAGACGCACGTGAAGCGCAAGTGGGTTCTCTGTCGCACCATCAGGGACCACTCCCATTGCACACGCACGTATATTGGTACATACGCATCTTACAGATCGAAAACGGAGATCAGATCCATAGTGAAGGGGTAAGCTCGCTCTCGTATGAAACGAAACGTCCGATGTGGCATGCAAAGAAATCCGATGGAACATTCCAGCCAAACGAAGACGGCCGGCTGTCCTTGAAGGGATATAATCAAAAACATTTGCATGCCTATACGCCAGAAGCAGGGAGCTACTGTATACTGCAAAGACAAATGAAACCTATATGAGGATGGCGCAAGAATGAAGACGATGAGCCCCAGAAAAGTATGTGAATCTACGAGATAAAATCCTGCATAACCCTGACCCTGAAGCCCATATTTGTTTTTTTTGTTCAGAATTCAGAACTCAGAACTCAGAAGCGAAAAGTTACTTGGTTTTGGACAGAACCACCAACGCCTTTTGGCGGAGCGAACAACACACCAGCCCGCCTCGGGAAGACCCATACACGCCCTCACAACAAAGAACCCCTAACCACGAGCTAGCCCATGGACCATGGAGAGATGCTGGCCGTCTTGATGGCGGCCATCCTAGCCGGCATGGAGCAGATACACTTGATTCTGTTGCTCGAGTCAGCTCGGGAACAAGACCTACTCGCCTACCTCGGCTTGTTCGACCGCCACGACGTACAGGACTACATAGACGGGGTAGGGAGGTCGAGAGGCCGACAGAGCATCCCTATGGAAGAGCGTTTCTGGCATCGTGTGGGCCGTGAAATGCCGTCGAGGAACTTCATGATCCTCTTCCGCTGCATGTGAGTACGATCAGGATTACGAAGGACTGGGTGTTGAGCACAACATGTGTGCGATCGATGCAGCCGACGGGCGTGTGCATGACGTTGAAGTTTCTACATGTATGCACACAGCAGTCTAATTTTTTCGGTTCAACGCTTTTTTACTCGAGGAACCCAGAGGAGCGTGTAAGGCGTTTTCGCTTCTTGGAGCGTGAAATGTTTGTCGATGAACCCCGTACATGTACGTGCGTGTTGCCGGAGTTCGACATAGTTCGGTTCAGCGGTATCATAGTCATAGTCCAACTGCTGTTTAGGGGGGACCAGTGGCAAACCGGTTGTGGGTAGGATAGACTAGTCCTCTCGGCTATGGCATATCTATGTAGGTAACCCTTGATATCTAAATATTATTGCAGGGTCCACCTGGTCCGGGTCGCGGCGGTGGTGCACAGGGGTCGCATGGTGTGCTTTTGATGGCGAAAGCCGGGAGTTCGAATCCCGAACCGATCTGAAACGTGGAGAACTGCGGAAGAAGAAAAGAAGCAGGAAACAATGATTCTCAGTCCAGCGCATCTTAACCTCGAGCACTGCGTTCCAGGCGACGTTCATCCACTAAACCTCGATCCCAACTCCCCCACACCCGTACACTTGGCTGCCTGTCTCCTTATGTCTTGACATTCTCTCATGTGCAGGAGGCCGACCTTCGCTGCTCTCGTCAAGGAGCTGTACGACACCCTCGACGTTCGAGCATCTGACGGCGGGCGCGGCCCGGCTTTCCATCCGTGCGAACGAACGGCTATGGTGTTGTACAGGTTGGGACACGGGGCCGGAGCACGGGCGACGGCGGCGCTCTTTGGTGTTTCTGATGGATGGGTCACATCATGCACGTGCGAGTTCATAACGAGGGTGACCGCGAGGCTCATCCCGAGGTTCCTCTGGTCCTGGCCCACACGAAACGACCAAGACAACATATCCGCGGCTTTCGAGCGCCGTACGGGATTCCGGTACGCCTAAGTTGCTATCGCACCGCGAAAACAGTTGTCTGTATGCTTAGCGCAGGGCGGCCTCTCGACCAACCCTGCGATTTGACGGCACTCGTGGGTGCGAGTATCCCCCAACAGCAGGCGGTCCGGGAGTTGCGTATCTTAAATGGGGCACAATCTCGGCATTATTTTGTGTGTGTTGAATGTGGTGAAGGCGCGACCCAAGTAAGTATTCATTCCTTACGTTATTCCGAACCCTTTGGGCGACCCAACTTAGAGAAGCGCTTCTTAGACTGTCTGTTTGCTCTGTTTATTCTAGCAAAGCGAGATTTATAATCTGGACTACGTTACTTGCTTTTAGACAGGGGTCAGCAGACCTCCCTTTTTTGTTTCGGATGACACCGTGTTATGCAGCAGATAACTTCGGGTTAGGGTTACCCCACACAACAGACAACAGACGAAAAGCAGACAGCGTACGCATAACAGGCGGCATACACGCACAGCGGTTAACAGTATCTGGGCTCGATGCCGCTGGACTCTCTGTAGTGTGGTGAGGCAATGTACTGATGCTGTCGCGCACGGCATTTGTTTTTTACCACCGCTTTCAACTGCCAGCAATGTCAGCGAAGCACCACATTAGTTGTCGAAACCTAGGACGCTGATTGCCATCGCACCACTTCGAGCGTGTGATCCATTGTGGTGTATCTGGGCGTGATAGTTGTGTTGGGCATTGGTGCTGTATGTGGAGAGAGCATGGTGGTGATGTGAAATCCGGCTCGCCTGGCGATGCGGCCCGATTGCCCGGGCAAAAAAGAAAACGATTTGGATTCCACGCCGCCGCCACGAAGGTCTTCCCACCATACGTAACACAACTGTCACGCCTAGAGATACCGTAATGGAGCACACGATCGAAGTGTTGCCAAGACGATTGGTGCGCTAGGTGACGAGAACCGTCTTGTGTCCTGATGTGTCGCTGGCAGTTAGAGGGAACAGGGGGTTCAGCAGTGGCATGCGGGGGGTATGTATGACCACGAGAACGGGATGTGGACAGCGAGGGGTGGGAGGGGGGGGTAACCGGTAGGTGAAAGTTCATGTTACCACAGACCTCCTACGCCAGCGCACAGCAGGTGTAGTATCAAGTGTTTGGTGTTTGCACTCTGTTTCCGCCCGTGGACACACACGTCTGACGACAGTTACATCTATCAGCTGTCGCACGTTGTTGTGACAGCTAGTAAATCTTTTTTAGATCGGACACTAAAACGCCCTCCGGCGTGGGCACACGTCCAACATAACCATCCCACGCTTGGACGGACCTGCCACATCAACACGATATCAAGCCCCGCGCACTAATTTGAATCGGCTAACTTGTGTGACCCTTACATCACTTCGTGCCTGTTCGTGCATTGTTCACCATCAGGGATGCTGTATTGGCTATGGATGGTTCCCACATCCCCGTCCCCTGCCCTACCCCGCGTGATATGTCGGCATAATTCAACTTCAAAGGATTCTATTCCGTCGTCCTTCTCGCGTTGGTGGACAACGCCGGCTTTTTTCGGTGGATCATCAGCGGACCTCCAGGCTCCGCGGGCGATGCCGGTGTTTGGGACTGGGCGAGACAGAGCAAGGACATCGCGGAGGAACAGAAGCTGCCGGAGGCGCAACGCAGGCGTATCTGCCGCAACCGCTTCATCCTGGGAGACTCTGCGTTCGCGAATAGCTCGTGGCTGCTAACGCCGTACGACAATCCCGTAACAAGGATCCAACGTTTCTTCATCTACAAGCACTCGCAGACGCGGTTCATCGTCGAGCATGCTTTCGGGCGCCTGAAGGTGAACCATCCGTAAGTTCGAACGGTCAGATTTCACGACATGAAGAAAAGCTAGTGTCTGGCGAAGTAACCCTCCACCTTTGGACGTGGCAACTACCGTACTTCCCTGGCGTTCGTCCCAGAAAAGAGTCCCCCCCCTCCCCAGATGAACAAAATATAAGGCGGCTACATCGAAAACAACACTGGGATAGCCACGGCCGCATGTGTCTGGTTTGTTGCCTGCTGTTTGCTGTTGTTGCCGTTTTTTGTTGCGACTTTCCGTTCGAGTTTGCTCGGAGCCTTTGTTCGTACGGATAACTCCACGGGCTCGAGCGCATCCACGTGTACATGCTGTTTACGTCGCCGCGGCGTTGTGGTTCCATGCCGTTGACGAGGCACTGCCTGTTGTTGGTGCATTAGAGGCCCACCCCTGACGACAGCTGGGCTGGGGAGTGTAGGAGTGTGTGAGAATAGAGACTTCGCTGCAGGGGATACTTTCCCCCGTGTCCTTGCAGCAAAAAATACAATACATCTCGCACCGTAGCGTTCACCCCGCGGGTTTTGTTTTCAACAATGTCTGGTATGTTTCCCCCCGGGATGGCACCAAAGGGTATGACGGGTCCCCCATCCAGAGTATTCTCTGCCTTGCTTTGACTTGCTCTCGTGTCTTTGTGCGTCTTTCGCTGTCGCCCCTGCCACCAGTGGAAATTCATGGTCCTGAAGAACCGCATGTACTTCAACATCGACAAGGTTCCGCAGGTTATCCAGGCGTGCGTTCTCCTGTACAACTTCATCCTGTTCCACGAGGGCTTGGGGAGGGACGAGGTCTTCGTCGACGCCCTGAGAACCAAGCGCGCGCATGGCCCGCGGTCGAACGTAGCGGCTGAGCAGGCATCGGCGGCGGCCCCGGAACCGGGAGGCAAAATACCTGGCAGACAAGTACATGGAGGCGACGTGGGGGGCGGAGGGTTCCGCGCTCGACCAAGCTCGCCTGGCTGCGGAGGCTAGCTACCCTGCGCAGACAGCGAATGATGAGGGGGGAGGCAGCGAAGAAGAGACTGGGCCCGACATCGACGCGGCCAACCTAGCAGGTGTCCGCAGTTAGACGCGGAGATATAGACGCCCCTGTACTATTTCAGTCTGTTGTCTTAAGTGCTTTTCGCGCCTGCTGTAGCTCCAATGGCCCTGTTGTTGGCTCCTTTTGATGTACTTCATTTTCGGCCGTTTGCCTTGGCTGCCCCTTTGCCCTGTTTCCTCTGAGGCCCGGCACGCAAATAGTGGCCTGTTCGTAGTATTAATTTTCCTCCCCCCCCCAATGCACTGAACGAAGTAGGAGTGCGGCGTAGCCTTGAAGTGTCTGATCGGAGAGGGTAGGGAGCGTTTTGGTCCTCCAAGTTATCTTTCCATGTTTATCTCGCGCGATTTGCACAATTTTCGAGCGATTGTACAATGCTTTTTTCGTGTTGTTTCTTACGCGCGTCGCGTGTGCCGGGTCTTATTACGAAGGGCTCCATGGATGTTGACGATTTGAGAGCTGATGTAAAAAAAAACAACAAGCAGAGAGGGCGGAGTTAAGGCAAGCAGGGGGCGGAGTGCCCTGAGACTGAAACCCCGAAAGGAAGTAGTGTGCTGATGCGTGTCGCTCGATTGCCCCCGGGGGGTCGCTAGACCAGCCCTTGATCGACCCTTGCCAGTACTACGGGGAAAACGATACCCAATTGTAGCGTCTAAACCCGAGGGCTGACTAAGAGACTTAGTAGGTAAGCCCAACACCCGTGCATACTGGGTCGCATGCTTTCGGCCGAGTAATTAGGCCGTGTACATTCGACGGTTGTCACAAATTGCGTCTCGTGTACTTGTTCGATTCTCATGTGGGGTAGCAGGTTGTCAGTTTCAAATTTCCCCACAATAACGGAGTTTCAGGACCCCACCGCAAACATGTGGTGGTGTTGCAGAAGGTTCACCTGTCCGTGCGAAGTGTAACGTATATATTTCTTGTTGCAGCGTAAGGTCGCTAGAGGAGCCCGGGGCGGAAGCTTGCTCCCGTAGCATGCGGGGGAGGTGTCCAACGGAGGGGGGAGTGTGTGTGTGTGTGTTTTATTGTCCGTTGGATACGGTAGCGGGCGGCAGCGGGGAGTTGCCCATCCAAATGCGTGCAAACAATGCTCGTCGCTGATTACGCCAATGACGAAAGTCGACGGTGACAAGGAACCTTTAAGGTGCTATTGTAGAGATGATTGTTTTAGCTCTAACAAAGCTGATACTATAAATTTTATACCGCCGTGACGGGAGTCCACACGTCAACAGCAATGGGCAATGGCAAATCCCACGGGGGAGAGAGGCTCAAATTGACTTACTCAGAGTTGGTGTCTTGTCTTGCGTCCGAAAACTCTTCCGCGGTAGACGAAAATATTGCAGTTCATTGGCGTGACGTACCCTAACACGCTTCGGACTATTGCCGGAGGCGCCTCTTGCGACAAAATTGACTTGTACCTTCAGGTAGCAGAGCGACAACAGGGTGCTCGAACCCCTGTGACATGCACATGACACTTGTACCAACTGCGCACCCCCTCACCTCCACGGTATTTTCACTTAACACCACAAACACACCCTGTTCGGCGAATATACCGCTAAAGCCAAATTTACCGTTAGGACCCTTCAAATGGCAAAAAAAAAAGCCACTACATACCAAACACCAGTCCAAATCCATGTTATTAACCCCATTGACAACATCTCAAGCTGCCAAAACAACATAATTCACCTCGAAAGAATGTCTAACATAACTCAACGCTTCATCAGAACTGTATCTCGCTCGTCGCGACGGTCAACCTCGGTAAAATGATGAGTACATCATCACGAAATGTTGAATAAAATAGCAATCTGGTTCCAACTTCTTGACCAGCGAGGTCCATGTTCGGAAAGCACATTAGACGCTAACCCTGATCTACCAGGACACGTCAAATCCAACCTCCAAAACACCAGTACGCATGAGCGCCAATTCAGTTCAGCAAATCCTCAGTCATGTTCCCACTGGAATCTCAGACAAAAGAGTTTCGACCTAACCTTACATTAGAATCCCACTGAAACATTGGCGTTACGGCTTTCAACCCCCTTACCTCTAGGACCCTAATCAATCGAAGCCAACACGAAATGCGGGAAACACTATCCAGCATCCCATCGGCGCACATAAGCTAGCAGTACAGTCTATGAATCGAGAAAGAAATGCGGCTATGGCCGGACTCTACGTCGGGTCCAACACGCGTGTCGTTGAGCTTCGAACCTCGACCCCTAAGCGATTCGCCGAATTGAGAGAGAAGGACTCCCGCACCCCTACCCCCCCCAACTTGTCCTCACCACGACAAGAACGCACTTTGTCGAACAAAAACACCCCAAAAACTAAAGCGAAAACAACGTAGATACTCTTCCCCTCTCCCCCAATGAAAAAGCGAAAGCGGAGACTCATGAAGAGAGATACGAACAGGAGGAAGGAACGACCGAGGCATAGAAACGAAACAAAAGCGAGGCTATTCGCAGATGTCCAAAACGCCTGTGCGACTACGCAGCTTAAGGGGAAATATGACGACAAAAACAGACCCGAAACCTCAAGAATAGAGGACGAAGTTATGGAAGAAGCGAAGGAAATATGACCTCAACGGAACACGCCAGAGACGAAAAGATGCGCGATACGAGCGACTCACCATATCAAGCTAGAAGAAATCATAACCCCCCCCCCTCTCTCCTGATCACAACAAGAACACGCTTTACCCAGATACGTCAATTAACTAAGAAATGCCCTCTAAACGCGTGCGAAGGGAAACGGTCATGGAAAGAGACACGAACGATAGTCAAAACGACCGAATAGTTGAGACGGAAGCGCCGCAAGACGCGGACCCGAGATGAGACAAACACCTCGGCCGCCAAACCCTTGTCCTAACCCCCCCTAACCTCAATACCTTCGACATGCGACACCACACCCCATTCTTTAACTAAGCCAAACACGTCTGCATGACAACAGCAGAGCGTGATGTATTATCCCCCCAACCGCCGCAAAAAAATGAGAAAACAAAAAAACGCGTCGCACTCAAAACCCGAAGAAAAAAATGAAAAGACCGAAACGCGTATATACAAGAGGTCTGAGATCTACGAGTCGTCGGCGTCCTCACCCTCGTCGTCGTCGCTGAGGCATACGTGTTTCCTGAACCTCCTCTGAATCAGTCCGTGGATGTCACGGTCCTTGTTATTGTTTTGATAGTCGACCATCAGACCGAGGAGGTCGCGTTCCTTTCGCCACTTGCGCTCTTCCTCGGACGCCCCGGCTGAAGCCCGGGCCTTAGGCCCGGCTGCATTCCGGCTGCAGCCCCGCCACCCCCCAGCAACGCGCTCGCGACCGACTCAATCGCGCTGGCAGACCGGTTGGCGTAACCCGCAATATCTTCGGATCCGCTACCCCGAGCGAAAGCCTGCATGGTCGACGCCGTGAACTTCGGCAGCCCCGCCCCCGTCCCCTGTCCCTACGGGGTGCCACCGCCATCTCGCCCGTTACCGCTGACTTGTCCTCCTCCCGCCTTTCCTTTCCCCTCGCCTTTAGACGCTCCGCCCCCGCCCATGGCCCCAGCTGGGGGCGTCCCTTGACTGAATCTTTTCTCGACTTCATCGTCGTCAAGCTCAAGCGCACCGTCATCCTCGCCCCCCCCGAAGTCCGGTGGTTGGGAGCCGCCATCCTCGCCGCCCCTTCCCCCCTCACCATCCCTGGCGGCGTGCCGGATGCTAGGCGGGGACAGCCCAGAGTGTAGAGGCTCCCCGCTAGTCTCTAGCGTCGACGGCGGGTAGTGGCACGACTTGTTGTCTGACCAGGCCTTCGCCCGCGCGATGACTAACGGCTTTGTCACCTCCTTGGCCGGAGCAACAGACCCCGTACCGTGGTGATTCTTTTTCTGCGCCGCCGAGTACTGTTGTTTCTGGCTGCCCACATACTTCTTGATAGCGACGAATCTCCCGGGGTCAAGGACAACCGTGGAGTCCCCCTGGTAATCTCCGTTTAGCTTCAGGTTGGCCTCGAAGGGGATGAGGATAGGGCGCTTCCACATCATAAACGTCCTGTCGCTTAATCCCTTGAACGCAGGGTGCTTGCGAGGCGTAGTGCGGACCAGAAGGAAGGGAACACTATGTGAGAAAACGCCCGTCTACGTTCGTCGAGGTAGCACAAGCCTCGCGAGACGTAGCCTTGCTAAATCGCGATGAAATAACCCAAGGTGTAATACAACAGCTACAGCCAATAATCGACTTCACATGACCGACTCTCTGTGGAAGCAACAACATCCAATCAAAGTGGCATACCGAAAGCTTACTCGCAAAGACAGTGTCCAGGGACAAAGGCGACGCGCGTGAAAAATGGCGTGGCTGTTGCCTAAGAGATCATAGAACAAATACAAGATGGACATGGAATTCTCGGCCAGGGCGAACTGAGCATTCCGAAAGCGCCAAGGGTCCAACGGATACTGAGGAAGGCATACCGAAAGGCTAAAATTCATCGAAAACAGTGTCCGAGGACGGATTGGCGTGGCTGTTGCCGAAGAAACCATAGAAAATAGAAAAGATGAACGAACGAACATGGAATAATGGGTAAGCAAGAACCGAGCATGCATTTCGAAAGCGCGAAGGGTCCAACCTATACTTAAGATGGCATACCGAAAGGATACTCGCAAAGACAGTGTCTGAGGACGAAGGCGAAGCTGCAGGTGTGTGATAGATGGCGTGGCTGCTGGCGACCAGAGAATAGAAAATAGGAAATACTACTATGCATAAAGCTCCCGTTCCTGTCACACTTACAGAAATGAAGAAGGGTGGAAGCAGGTGACGCGCTCCACGGAGGAAACGGAAAGAACAGAAAAGAAGCCAGGCCATATGGATTTGTATGTCCTGACCGCAGCTACTGCTGATAGACCCCCTCCAGTGTGTATCTCCGGGGCTGCCGTTCTCTCCGACGCGTCATGCAGTGGTATCATGAAGACGCATCCGCGGCTGTGCCGTATTGGGCTGTGTAGAAGCCAATTTGCTGTAGAGTACTGCTGCTTGCTTAGACCATTCGTATTTTAACGCCCTGACCGCAACTACTGCTGACATACCTCCTCCAGTGTATATCTCCTGGACTGCCGTTCTCTCCGACGCGTTATGCAGTGAGGGCACTCCTGGGATCATGGCATGATGGTGTCTATACGTCGTGGGCACGGTACTCATATTTCGGCCAAAGACTCAACCCAGTCACACAACAACGAACTCATATCCGCCAAGACTCCACCGAGGTCCACAACATTTGTTACGTGTAGTCTATTTTCCTGTATGCATATGGTACCATCTTTGCCACAAATTGGACACCGTGTGTTCTCGCCTGCGTATTTCGTCTTCGTCGGTTGTGAGGTGTCGTCGATCGGTGGCGGAGACTATAGTATCACACAGGGTGATGTTGAAACGTTTACTTGTTGTCGATGGCAGGCGTGTGTATGTGTGTACCTGTCGTACAAGTACCGTAGCTTCCCGCGAGACTGTCGGGAACGTTATGCGGAGACCGGAGGACCTTCGTTCGAAGTTTCCAGCTTTTCTCGGGTGGTGTGGTTGTCGTTTGCTGGATGTACCATGGAAGGGCACGATCGTCACCCATCCTTGCTACAATGTCCCCCATACCATGTGTACTCGTGTCGTTATCACGTTTCGCGTGAGGCCTCCTGTTCGAACCTACAGTATACCTCGCAGGTGCTGGTGCTGTACAAAGCGTGCTTTCCCCGTGTCGTTGTTTAGCAACATACTCACACGCGTTCGCCATTCAGGCGCTGCCAAAGCTGAGGGAATGGTTGGGGTGGTATCATGAAGACGGATACGCGGCTGTGCCGTATCGTGCTGTGTAGAAGACAATTGCTGTACAACTGCTCCTGTACAGCAGTGCTGCTGCTGCTTACCATACCGAAATGCATTTGTATGTCCTGACCACAACTACTGCTGACAGACCTCCTCCAGTGTATATCTCCTGAATTGCCGTTCTCTCCGACGCGTTGTGCAGTGAGAGCGCTCTTGGAGTCATGGCACGGCGTCTATACACGGTGGGCACGGTACTCATTTACCCGCCAAAGACTCCACGCAGTTACACAACAACAGCAAATTCGTGATATTATTTTTCTCATGCTTTACGTAGTATATTTTCAAGTAAAATGACGGCCGACGGACGACGTTCTGCGAGTAATTAATTAATTAACATGATTTTATGGCGTGCATGCTCTACATAACATGTGCATATGAAATATCATGTGTTGGAATTACACGAGAGATGCAGCACGATACTCCGGAGCATAACTCGAGCGAAGCCAGATTTCTAATCTGGCCTGTGAGGTTTTAGCGCAGTATTGCCCTCAATGAAAATTAAAGTTTGTAGTATAACGTTTACGGTAGGATTTATCTGTGGTTAGACAACAGTAGTACATCATTTGAAATGAAAGGGGGGCAGCACATTTTTTTTTTCGGATCACACACAGCAGAGTGCAGCTACCTGCAGAACACACACTCAGGCACACCGCAGACAACACACGCAAAGCGGGCACAGCGACACATGCACAGCGGGCACGGCGGATAGAACAACGGTAAAAACCGCGTTCAGGTCGTTGATTGTCCAAACCGAGACATTGCATGGTGCCCTCGTCTCCGACGGCTGCTGTTGACGCGCGGGGAGTTTCGTACCACCACAAGTTGCCACACATGACAAACACGAAAACAGGACAGTGAGGACAGCAGCAGCCCCGAGGCCTCCAACGCGCTGATTTCCTCGGTTCGGCTGTCCATATGATCTTCACTCCCAGCGTTGTGCTGCTCCTAGAAGGTGTGTGAGAGTGATGTACCACCTCGCGAAACTGTCGTTTGAAAAAATGCGGTGAGATGGCCTGGTTTGGGTCAGAAGTCAGCCAGGCAAACCCACGGCACCACGCAGCAGTAGAGCAATAGGGCCTCCGACACGCTAGTTCTTTCGGATTGGTCATGTATATGATATCGACCCTCAACGCCGTCGCCTCTCTACGGTTGTTGAGTTCGTGTACCTTTCGACAGGGAGCGATAAAGAAAATGAGGGAAGGACTTGAAGAAATCGCAGGCGCTCCCTGCTCCCTCCCCCCAGTGCTGAAAATCGCAGGCCGGGTGGACAGGGTCTTCGGAAATGTACTGTCCTCTGTGTCGGCATTCCATTCTGTGCATGTACCACCGCTCTATGGTGAGCAAAACCAATTTGACCTCTTGTGTCAAGCAAGGCTTGCATTCAGCGATAGGAAACGTTTTTGCACCGATCTTTTTTACCGATCGGGGAATATTTTTCACCGATTCGTATATTTGGGGAGTCGATACGTCGGAATACGCCTCAGTAGCACGCACTTCCGCCCGTGGACGCACACGTCTGACGACAGTTTCATCTATCAGCTGTCGCTCGATGTAGCGACTGCTATCCTATCTTATTCCCTGAAATTCTACCACTTTATCTGGTGCATGTAGCCTGCATACAGGCTGAAGTCTCCCCCCTCTCCCCTCCTCCTTCGCCAACCCGAGGTTCATTCATCGGGTTCGCAGGACCGGTAATGTGCTGGGCGGCGGACCACTGGCGAGAAATCGCCTCTGCATCATCGCCGTACCCACAAGTGTGAACGATTGTCCACCCCGGAAACAATAACTTGCATAGTTCCATTTCACACACTCTGTGGGTGCTTCAATGCGTGAAAAGCTTTGTCCACTCATCACCAGTCAATGCTGTCAAGTTGTTGGTGGTCTTTCAGATATATTTGATTTTTTTATATTATTTCAGATTTGTTTCAATGAGCGAATACCTATTTTATTCTTGAGGGTCTTCGAATGAGTACCTTTCTGTTCACTCTTCATTCCATCGTCGGTGTTTTTCTTGAGAGGACCGCGTCAAGTTCATTATCGCATCAAGTTTCGGTGAGAGTTCAGCTCCATCTACGTCTGTCTGTCTGCGGCAGATATTCAGAACTTTCCCCAACCAGGAAGGAGCGTCACACTTTCTATATTCCTTTGACATTTCTCATTAACGTTCGTGCCCACCTTACACGGAGATTTCGCGGAGAAAACGAAGGACGGGGGTGGTGGTAGTCCCCCGCGTCCTTAGCTCTTGTACTTGTATACAAATAAGAAATGTATCATGACACGATGAATGTCGCCGGTTGTTTTCGAATACCGGAAAAACAGTCTAAGTATTTTAAAGTTTTCACCGAAAGAACGAAATATCTGTGGACATATACGGACAGCTGGAACGGGAACAAACCCATGGCACAGGTTGACGCAGGCTCGCGTGTCGTGGATGGTGGGGGCCGCACCGACGCTGCGGTACCCACACGCTCTTTTAGGCACTGTTCATTGTCGTGGATGTACCGGTCTCGCCGTGGTGGGATTGTTTGCTGAGATGGATACAGCGGTAGACTGTCGCATATAATGTGTGGATGATTGTTCAGATGCTGCTGTAGAAACCCATATTCGAAGGGCCGGAAACAGAGACGCAGGCGTAGCAAGATAAATGTGGTTGTCGCTATTGCAATTTTACAATGTGTATATAGGACTCTCTGCTGTGTATTGTAGCAACGCGGGAGAAACGAGTTTGACTGCTGATTGATGGCGTGAACAAAAAAAGACTCGGATTCATCATCAACCACCTACTACTGCTGTCCTTGCTGCTGCTAGTGCTGCCGTGCAGACATGCACTTCTTGCTCCCCTCGCTTTTATGCTGCTAGCAGGAGGCAAAAGTAGTTTCAAGAATCGTTTCCGACGCCCCGTAAATACGATGCGTTTGGTCGCACTTACTTTTAAGAACATGAAAGAGGCGCCAACTGTACGCGTCAATTGTTTGTCTCTGTTTCGGGGGTGGGTGCATCGACCGAATATATCCAAAACAATACGACTAAGAACCCGCGTTCATGACTGCGGGTGCCTGTGCTAAGATTTATCTACAGCAACAGCGTGTCACTTGGCCCGGGGGCGTCGCATTTAATTGCCCTTCGTCCGGTCACAGGAGGAACTACATGATGATACGCAAGTTTTCGGTCGTATCCACGACACACCAAAAATAAATTAAGCAACCACATATATATACATATATATATATATGTTTTTCCCCATACTAAAACTTCGAAATGTGTCACGACACGACCGCCATCCTGTAAATATAGACTCATCTACAATTATGTCGGAAGCCTGAGACGCAAGAGTTCAATTCAACCATTGTTTCACTCTTAAAGCAAGACGTTTTTTTCGGTGCATCAGTTCGCGGTCGCCTTGAGACTGTTTTTTTTGCCGGCTGTTGCCCGCTGCAGCGGGCCAGTCTCTGGATCACAGCGCCCCTGTCGCGAGCTGCCCGAGACTCCAAAGGTTTGAGTAGAGTTACAGCACGGTGAATGCACGCAACCACTACTTCAGTCATTGAGCTAGACGTTGCGGTGCGCTAAATCGGATTTAATTGTTTTCAAATGGGGTCTGAACAATTTTTTCGGCCATCTTTGCCGACGTGGGCGTGCCGATCTCACGATCACAGCGCCTCTGTCGCGAGCTCGAGACTCAAAGGGCGAGCCGAGTTACAGCACCGTGAAGTACGACTAAATCTCCTGCATCCGGGTGCGTCTAGGCAAAGGACTGTCGCCTCTAAAGTTCTTTCAGCTCATTGGACGAGATTTTGGAGAACGTCAACTCATAAACTATGACCGACCACGTTGTTGTTACATGTAGCACCGAAGGCGGATTTTATTGCAATTGTGCCGCGTGGTGCCAACGAGATATCGGCAGACTACTGTCGCACCTTCTCTAGCGTAAGCAAAGATTGCTGGTGACATGTAGCACCGAAGGCGGATTTTATTGCAAAGATGCCGCGTGGTGCCAACGAGATATCGACAGACTGCTGTCGCACCTTCTCTAGCGTAAGCAAAGATTGCTGGTGACATGTAGCACCGAAGGCGGATTTTATTGCAAAGATGACGCGTGGTGCCAACGAGATATCGACAGACTGCTGTCGCACCTTCTCTAGCGTAAGCAAAGATTGCTGGTGACATGTAGCACCGAAGGCGGATTTTATTGCAAAGATGCCGCGTGGTGCCAACGAGATATCGACAGACTGCTGTCGCACCTTCTCTAGCGTAAGCAAAGATTGCTGGTGACATGTAGCACCGAAGGCGGATTTTATTGCAAAGATGCCGCGTGGTGCCAACGAGATATCGACAGACTGCTGTCGCACCTTCTCTAGCGTAAGCAAAGATTGCTGGTGACATGTAGCACCGAAGGCGGATTTTATTGCAAAGATGCCGCGTGGTGCCAACGAGATATCGACACACTGCTGTCGCACCTTCTCTAGCGTAAGCAAAGCTAACTGGAGTAATTTCTTCGAAGTCCTCACGTGCATCGTGTGTCTTCACGTACGTGCACACAGCAACATATATATGCCTGGAATACATACACACCCTCCAAGTGGCAAGTACAGGTCTTCTCCTGCTGTAGGAAGGAATTGAACAGGGTTAGTTTTTTATTGCTGTGGTACTGTACGCCAAAGCTGGCTTGTGCTTTGAGTTTTCGAACATGAATGCACATCTCACGGAATTGTAAGTTTGTTTGTCTTCTGTAATACTGCCAACGACGCTGTACAGTTGTATTGAACGTGCTGCCGTAGCCTACACTCTACCGTATACAGGTGAACGGTAAATGAATATAGATAGATCAAGTTTTAGTCGCAATGCACATTTCGTGGATACCACGAGCATTTGGTGGAATATCTTCTGGAAGTTAGTCAGAAGTTAGTCGGTAAAGCGTGAAAGCGTGACCTTTTCGCGGAACTCTTGAATTCTTAGTTGGCATGCATAATAATATAGTCTGAGGCAAGGTTGCAAGTACAGGTCTGCTGCTGTATAGGAAGGAATTTGACAGGGTTTGTTTAATCTTTTTTTGTATGTTGTTGCACGCCACAGCCTTTTTTTTCTAAAGTAAAGCTTTCGCTTGTGCTTTGAGTTTTTGAACATGCATTGCATGCACATCGTGACCTGCCAAGGGCGCACAAAAAAGTTTTTATCCGACACCTAACCCTACCCCCCCCCCCGCCGGGAGGGGTGTGAAAAAAGTTTTTTTTTTTGGAATATTTTCGTACAGGCTTTCTTTTGGCTTTCTCCTTCTCCGTTGCGTGTGCTTGCGTGTGGTGGTGTTTACGGCACGACGTGCAAGCAGGACCTTATTACTAGGAAGGTGTAGATTGCTACTTCATGTACTGAAATAAGCGGTGATGGGCTGGGGACACTTCTTATTTGGTTTTCAAGTTTTGAAGTACAGCAGCAGTAGTGCTTGACGACAACCCCTCAGCTACAAGTAACTTAGAACTTCTCCAAGCCTCTGCGACAAGTTCACGACATTTGACCTCGGTCGAATGTGGCGAACGGACACAACCAAATGACACATACCCATGCGTCGAAACGTCATCATTCCAAGCTTACTCAAGCCGGCAACATGCCGAAGAGGGGCTGTCGATGAAGCTACGGCGGTGGAATCACCTTCGCCACGTGCAACACCCATCCACAAATAATATCAATTTGTCTTGGATGGTACTTATTATTCACTCCCCGAAGCCCCTCCAGTATTGCCAAGTCAAACTCTTCCTCGCTGAACCCTTTGGCACTATACTTGCCATTCACCGCCTGCTCTAACCTATGCATGATACCACTCAGCGACAAGCCGTCTCGCCGCGCTTGGGCCATCAACCTTCGAATACCATTCACGTCATTGTCTGCCATGTAAATGAAGATACTCTTCGCGAGTGCAACACGACCATGCAAAGCCGCGCACTTCCTGAGTTGGTTCAAAGTGTACAGTTTCTGCACTTCGAACTTCTTCCACCGCGTCAGCCTGCCTCGTTGCTGGTGAGGAGTCAACAAATCTAGAGCAAGATGCTTCAACCTTGAGTCTTCTGGGTCCAACGATGATCGATCGTTGAACCAGATCTGCTCCAAGACGGAAGGGGTGCAGAGGGAACAATCCAATTAAAAAAAAGTACATGATGTGTGGTGGAATGAGGGTACGACCGTTAAATGGTCTTGCCTTCCTAGTTGTGCCTTCCTATTTCGCGTTTTTTTCGGTACGTGGTCTCACCTCTGTAAACCTTACTACCCTTGATGTCAACACACGGCTCGCACGTGCCTCCTGGTTCTTCCACTGCTCCAGCACAACCTGGGTTCAGGATGCCGCGGGAGACGGATTCCACGGCGTAAAGAGCCACGCCATTCGGGTCTATCCGAGCCTCCCACGACAGCCCCTTTCTGACGACACCATGCAAAGCTGCTGGGTAGTGTTGGAGAAGAGGCTCCCGAACATTCGGACGCAATCCCGCGCAGCGGAGGGGGTTTTGGACGCGCACCATATCGGTCGAACCACTCTCGTGTGCAGCGTCGGAGAAAGTTCCATCCATTTCGCTGCTCGCGCCCTCACAACCCTCTCGCCCGTTCACAACTCCCGTCGCAACCACCTCACCGTCGCTACCCGTGCCCGTTCCGCCCTCACGTCCGCCTGCAACTCCCGTCGAGAGCACCTCAACGTCACTGCTTGCGCCCGCTCCGCCTCCGCCCCCGCCCTCAACTCCCGTGGCAACCACCTCAGCGTCGCTACCCGCGCCTGCTCCGCCCTCACGCCCGCCTGCAACTCCCGTCGTAACCACCTAAACGTCACTGCTTGCGCTACCGCTGCTATCCATCACGTCCCTCGACCCCTTCCCGCCGCCCGTACGTGATACTCGGTTTAAAAAACCTCAGCATTGTATTGCTCTGACGCTTAGCTTCAGCACCACGCCTGCGGATGTGAATAGATATTGATTGATCCGCCATTGAGAGACGGAATAATTATCTAATCGTTCTACTGCATACTGTGTCAAGTTGCGTAGTAGGCGACGCATTCGCACACATCGACAAAGAAAGCTGCATGCACGCACTGATACTTTGCGCGACATGCGTGCCGCGAGGATAGACAAAGTAACGGGTCTTGCGAGGTCTTGAAATGTTGGTAAGCACAAGTGAGCAGTCCAAATTACTCGAGAATGCAACTGCGGACACCGACCGCCATCGCCCTCACATGTGTGCGGTCGACCTCTCTCGTGCTGGTTCACATGAAACTGGGTCAGCCCTTCACCGGAGCCGAAAGAGTGGTGGCACGTGGTGCAAACCCAGTTGCCACTGCTATTCTTCTGAGCGATTTTCGCAACAAACAGGCGAACGCGATCTGCTCGCATGCGATGGGCGTGCGGAAAGTGGCAGGCAAGGGCAGAGGACACCAATCAATGTAAAGGCCAGTTCTTCTGCAGAGGCACGAATATCTCCGTGGCACACAGCCTTGTGGGTGGTGCCGGTCTGCATTTCGCGCATTTTTTTTCTCAAACGTTGTCACAAGTTGTCATGCTGCTCAGCTACGGCTGCGGCTTCTGCCTCTGCTGTTGAGGCTCCCGCTACTGATGCTTCCAGTTACATGGGAAGCATCACAACACACACGCAGACGCCGCTGCCAGCTACACGGGCAGCAGTACAATCACGTTTGGTGTGTACAACACGACGGCAGTTGCATCGCGAGGGCTCCGCATTCGCGCACTCTTGGTTGCGTCCAACCTTGGTGTGGGTTGTTGTGTGGGTTGTTCTTGCTATTGCTGCTGCTGCTGCGAGGCAAATTATACTATAATGCAACCAAGGCAATCTCACAAAATGGTCCTCATTCCTCTACACTCACTCTTCGTGCGTGTGCGAAGCCTCATGCTGCAAGGTGGTGCCCTCGTCGACTCCTGAACCGTCGCCGAAGTTGTGTCCGCAGCGGCAAACAAACTGCATGCCATCCGCTCGCTCTCGGCAGACGCGGTTTAGCCCAGCCGTCTTGTCGAAGGGGGTTGTTGATAGGAATCCCCACGGAGACTGTGCTCATCGTGACCACTCTCCCCAAGCTCTTGCTCTCCCTCGCTCCTCAGCTACGGACGGTACCGCGGCTGCGGGCTGCGGTACTCTGGAGCAGGGGCTACGTGGATTGTACTATCCCCTTGCATGAAATGTGCCCACTTTATATATAGGATTTACTATAGACTTGTTTATATCGGAAATTGTGTGGCGTTTGGGGGG